TGTGAACAACTAACTAATTATTAGTATTTGATCCAGTGGTACATGATAATTGATAATAATCAAACATTAACATCGATCATTTTTGTTGGCATACTCTATCGCGTATCTAATTACCATTACATAGATAGCCTGTAATTTTTTTTTAATGTTTTTACAGTTTATAATTACAATTTTGGACTCATTTTAGCTTCTTTAGAGAAATAACATGTATAGGTACTATATTTATATAATTAGGTCATGGTTCAAACTTTGAAAGTAAGTATATTAAGTTATGAAATATTCGTTAACCTGCCGTAACATGTTTGAGAGTATCATAAGGGAGTGATAATACAGTTATGTACAGTTTTTAATAAGGAAATAAGGATGCAAAATGTGTGTGTATCATCAGAGTACCTTTATTTCCCCCCTCCAAGTTAAGTACTGTAAAATACATATAAGAACTTTGAAAAAGTGATCATAATAATAAGATTTGAATTTAATTAAAATATTATTTTACAACTAGAAAAAGTTTATTAAAACTAGTAAGTAAAACAATTATTTTTATTGAATTAATTAAGGTGTTTAAAATATTAATATTTGTTTTGACAACTATAATACACATTATGAAATAATAAACATAATTTTTCAATTGGATTTAAATAAACATACGTTTTTGGGTTTGATATTGCGTAGAATTTCTTCTAAACAATAAGAATTCCGTATACTAGTTGAAACTATTTAGGATCTGGTAACTTTATCCGCTAATATGTTTTGCATTTCCTTTTTTCTCACACACACGATTAATCGTTTTCTCTAATATCAGGACTTCCAAATCTGCTAAGTAGCAAATGCAACAGTACACATAAAAATATTCATATGTGCCGATATCATCCAGTATTTTTCACGATGCAAACTTGTTTTATTCACCACTGTCCGCTCAAGATTCGAGGTTAACAACAGCACCAAAGGAAAACTCGATTGACCGGTTCTTCACATTCTATTTCTCTCTCTCTGTCTCATTTTGTACATTTATCTGCGAGTGATATTTATTTATACATACGTACTATTTAAAAATATGAAAAATGTACTACTAAACTACAATATAACGCTCTAGGATCAATTATTCCGGAACCGGAACATTTTAAACGATTTCATCATTCAATATTGTATTTCTATAATTATAATATATGTGTTTATTATATCATAATAACCACTCCAGTATGCAAAGCGGTTGTGGCTTATTTAAAATGGAATTCATTGTTTATACCTAAACATTATTGTATTTTAACAGTATAATTTATATGCAATGATTTAAAAAATAAAAGGATAACATTTTTTTTTTTTTTAATTTGCCTTTGTTCGCACATTACAGCAACGGATAACATTATGTTCATTGTTTTTAAATCCAGAGATAGAAATGTACAAAAACTCTATTTTATGAAGAGATGAAATATAAATATATGTAAATGAGTTTGAAATAAAATAATGCATGCATCATTTTATTTATATTTAACCAAAAATATCCATTATATTTATTATAATAATCAATAGTTAGGTACAAATTTTTATTTTATAAAATGTTATTAAATGTATTATTACAATGTTTTTTTTTATTGCAATGGTTTACTGCTGGACAATACAATTCATTTATTATTTTAGGTTTTTCCCCATTTAGTCAACTTATTTAACTAAACATGAATAATCATTAAAATGAAAAGTATTCGCTATACACTAATTAATAAAAATAAACTGTATTTTAAATATAATATTTATTTTTACCTAGTAAGAAATAAAATGGATTTATAAAAGAATTTTAAAATAATATAATTTTCTATTATAAAATTAAAAATAATTAATATTATATCTACAAATAAATTAAGAAATCTATAGAGAACGTGTATTTTATACGTCGCAATTTTGCAATTTTGAGGATTACTTCTCTGACGATATTATTAAAATATCATGTATACATATACATATATTTTTTTTGTAAATATATTTATAGCTACTATCTACTCCATAATAGATTATGGCCGGAAGCCGGATATCCGTATGCACACGTTCACAAGTGTGGGGAGAATCGATGGAATTTCCTTGGCAACCAGGTACAATCAAAACATCCGAAATTCACTCCCACTAAATAACATTATTAAAAACTGGACGTACACGAAGTAAATACAACGTCCAAATACATAAGATTCTCAGTCATGTGTCGCTGAGTTGTACATGTTATTATTGCGGTCAGTGGTTTAGTGATCAATAATATATCATGTATACGTCGAAGATTCTTGAACTTCAAGAAACAAACTGTTTTGATAATCGTCAATAATGTTTAGAAATAAAATTGTTTCTTTGTAAACACTCTGTACCTTAGAAAATAACTAATAAATTTCTTATAAAAGTACATTATGAAAACTATTTCCAAGTTCACTCTAAATTCTTACCAATCATAACAAAATCCTTTATTCTTAATACTACAATAACCAGTTAAATATTATAATTTTTTAAATAAACTAGATTTATTAATTATAAAATCATGGTACATTTTTTACATTACATAATTTTTTGTATTGTTTTATTGCTTTTGGTCAAAAATACGACTTTTAATTCATTTAAAAGCTTAAAACCTTGTTTCAGGACATATATCATACGAATCCTTTCAAAGTATTGACGTCATCGAGGTCAAGGCAACTTTATTTTATCTCACCAAACTAAATTTAAATAAATTATCGCAAAGTGTAACAATATATTTTTAACAATTAAACTTAAAATAGTTATAAAATTCAATAATAGTTAAATGTAACTCAAGGTTTTTACTCTATCAATATATCATTGGAATTGTATAAGTTTGGTACCACCATGTTCTTATTGTACACTTTGAATCTAATATACGAGTAACTGAAGAATACTATTTCAATAAATTTAACGTAATTTTTAATATTTGATAATAATAAATGTTATACATATTATTAAGTTAAAAGGTTACACTTCATTAACTTAAAAAAAAATTTAATATTACTACAATGGATAATCTATCTTAAATATATTTTTCACTGAAAATATCTACAAAATAATTTTATACACGGCTGATTTCTTTGAAAACACGAATGATTTTTAAATATATTATATACATATATTAATTTATAACAACTAAATCTTACACTTGAGTATAGAACAGTATTTAATTCGTAAAAACCGAAGAAACGCACATGCGAGTATCTATGTATGTATAAGATATTGAAGTACACATACAAAAAATATGTATGATATTTAAGTAATAAAACAGAAATTTAACTTTGTACTAGCTCAAATGCAAAATATTAATACTCTGTGTAATATTATTTTTATAACATAAATTGTTTATTATTTAATTTAATTTAGTAACTCTTTAATTTGAGTAATCAAATCCATTTCGTATTAATTGTACAATGCTATATACTTTTGAAAGATCTTGTAAATTATTTTCTACATAGAAAATTATTTGTTCGTTTTATAATATTTTTCTCATTTGTATACCTATTTAGAATAAAATAAATAAATTCAGCGGATCATCATTGTTTTAAAAATATAAAATTCGCATAATGCTACAATATCTTATTACATTAGTAATTTTTATTCTGGTGTTCCAAATAACTTAAAGTACGTTTATTCACATACATTGTTCTACAAGTTATAAGAAAAAATGTTTTCATTATTAGATTTTACATTAAAAATATCTTGTGGTATTTTATTAAAGCAGGTTAAACCCTTTTTTACGTTGTCCTCAACCCAAATTACTCCTCAAGTGTCTCTTTATTTATTTGTACATTTTTAATTAATACTCATACAAAAATATGATATAACCAAACTTAAGAATTTTTAATTACCATGGGTCATACAAATTAAGTACCCTTATGTATTTAATATTACATACAAAATAATAAATATTAAGTATGCGTTAAGAACTTACTTTATATTTTCATATTATAAAAGATAAAAAACGAAATCCTATATCCACACAACCAAAAAAAAAAAAAAAATTTTGTTCACCAAGTCACTGGATAGCACGAAACTCCGATAAAAACAGCACACACCGAAACGTTAGCGGCACGAGTAAAAAACACTGGGTATAACTAGGTAGACTAAAAACACAGACCTGTTATTGGTGTTACCTGGTGTACCTGTTGTGATCACTCGAGGTCGGTAACCGACTAGAAACGACAATCGTCGACCACAGACGATGTGGAAATTCTCATAAAAACACTACGATGATGATGAGTTGTAAGACGAGAGAGTTATTGCATTATTTTTTTTTTTTTACACTTACTCGAGACTTTTACGGAAATTAGAGAATACATATACATACATAGTATGAGAGTGAAAGTATAATATATTATTACCTATTATTTTATTGATAAAAAACTGTCCCTATTAGAATGTCAATATTTTCAGTAGACGCTATTCGTTTTATGGTAAAGGTTTGATGGTAAAACATTTGATAACAAAGAAGTTTTTTTTTTCTGGAAGAAAAACGTTTTAAAATATGTTTTTATTAAAAATTCTATAATAACTAAATTAGTAGGATAGAATTATTTTGTATTCCGTTGTTCTAATGTTTATCCATTATTTCGTTTTAAAAACTAGTAAATCGATAGGAGGCCTAACACCGCTCTATGTACAAATTATTATGGTACCTAATATTAAATTTCTAATTTAATTAGAATCTAATCTTAATTTAAATCAGAAAAACTTAACCTAACTAAATAAATAACATACCACATATCGCCCTTTTATTTAAATCATTTAGCAGTGTTTCATTTAATGAACAATACATCACCCCGAAAAAAATAATGAAGAAAAATATAGACACATATAAAATAAAATATAATGCCTAATACGTATACTACAATAAGTTACTTAAATAAATTTAAGCTATTTAAATATTTCAGTATGAATTCAAAAATATCTAAATATTTAAGGGTAATGGATTCAAAGTATGTATATATGACGTGAATTACAGTATATGTTAAAAATGTGCTTACCTTTTTTAACTCGAGGTTTTAAATTCATACAAATTGTCCTCGTAACAATACACTGCAATAATATTTAGATATTATCAAGTTTTAAACACAGTTCAAATTTAATATTTTCTTAAGAACTCACCTGATAGAGATAAGATAATAAATCGTCACGGGTCATTTCTGCGATTTGCTGTCCATTAATTGCGAATATTTCATCACCAGTTTCAAAGTCTGCGCGGTCAACTTTTGAACCTTATCAACCAATTAGTTTCAATTAATAATTATAAAAGAAAAATGAATTAGTTTATACTTGTAAGGATAGTCGGAACAATAGTAAAACCAAATTTCTAAATAAGGTAAGGAGAACTTTTAATGTTATAACTTTTGCAAAATAAAGAAGTCTAAAATTATGAAAAATTGAAAACTATGAGTGCCAATAAAGATTTGATTAAAATATTTTGGAACTAAGAAATATCTTATAATGCTAATATAAGTACTAGGTAAATGTTTCGAAATATTACTATTAATATTTATACGATAACAACTGAAAAATTTATATAACTTAATATAACTTTATATAACTTAATGGATATTCGTTAAAATTATCGTCAACATTACATTTTGTAAAGCTTATAAAAATGTTTCGCGACTTTACAGTAAATTTGTTTTGATACAAAGAAAATTTTATGAAAAATTACTACAAAAATAATTGATAGACAATATTTAAGTATAAAATCTGAATATTTTATACATTTTTAACAACCAAAATATAGTGAAATTTCAGGATTTTTAATGTTTTATTAAAATTTGATATTCAAACACTCATACATTATTTTTATTAATCAGTAATAAATATGTATGAGGAACTTTGTACTAAATTTTTCAGATTTTAAATATTCATCTAAATTTTCAAAAATGCATTGAAAATGTCAAGTCTCTACGATAATTATATATCTTTGGAGCTACAATGAAAACAAAAATTCGATTTTATTGAAAACTGGTATGCTACTTGTTAAAACTTTTTGTCAGTTTTTCGTAATTATTAAGAATATTGCTGGAAAATTACTATTGTAAAATTACTATTTGTAAAATACTAACTAGAAAACATTTTCTATTTTTAACTTTTTATTTAGAGATGATTAGTGATGAGCATCCTTTTGGTCGAAATCGTCAACACAAACAAAACAAAAGAATATCTTGAAAAAAACATTCATGAAAAAATTTTTTCAAAAATTTTAATACAAGATGTAATATATAATGATAATATGACCAATTTTAAATGATAATAATACATTTATTTTATTTTGAATACACATTATTAATAAATTGGATCTTAAAACTTTAATTCGTGTTTAATTCAAAACGTAAAACGTTCATAAATATTTTGTACATACGAGTATTTATTTATTTATTGAAATGTAATAAAAAATATTATTAATTAATAATAAATTAATAATTAATAATAAAATATTAATAATATTAATTAATTAAAATATTATTAATATTAATAATATAATATTAATATTAATAAGTAAATTAGAGTAACATATTTACCTAAAAGCTTGGCTTTATTATCTTCAGTTTCTTTAAGTATGAGCACGTATCCACCGAGGTCCATGGTGTGGATTATAGTAGAATTAGATAAAGATGCGTTGGAAAGAACCTAGATAGTAAATAGGTTCTTATAAATTGGAGTTCTTCGTCCTCTTCGTTATCGCTTTCGCAGTCTGAATCAGAATTCTCAGCCATATTGGTCGTAGCTTAAAGCTATTTGGGGCATAGCCTACCAAATTATTCCTTAAAAAAAATTATAAACTCTGTTAAAGGTTTATTATTAATTTAATACATTTTAATTTACATACAATTGTGTTTATAATGACGTACTTATACTGTCAAACTTAAAAACTTAAGTATTTTATTTTATTTCAGTTAATTGTTTTCGTAATATTACGTTATGATCCTTTTATAAACTAAAAATATAACATTTAATTTTAAGCGTTGGACTTGAAATGTTAAACGTATATCTTGGCCTACTAAACTAATTTGGATATCTCTCTCTGAATATATATCATGGTATTGCTAAATTATTTTTCACAACTTTTATATTACTTATATTAAATACTTACACTTAGTAAGTTCATTCATTATGCATTTCCGTGTATAGAATACATTATACTATTTACAGACTGTACAATTTTTACTTAATATTGAAATTGAATACTAATTAATAATGCACTGTTTTTTATACATATACAAAACCAATTGTATAATATTTTAATACAACTGTTGAATCTTTTTATACATCATAGATCAGCGTATCTGAATCGGGGGTACGCGTACCCCTGGTGGTACATGAAAGTACCTCCTTTTTACTCGAGAAAAAAAATTAATTGCGGAAAAAATGTATGCATTTGAATTAACAAATAATATATGATATATTTAATAACGAGCACAATGTTTGTGGGAAAAGCTTTTTCGTTATACTCGTTCATTAAAAATAAGTATCGTGATAGACTTTTTGTAAGTTCAGATTTATGAGTTTAATTATAATCTGTGGACCCAGATTAAAAAATTAAGTTTTACCAAACAACCCCAAGAATAACATTAATTTTAAACTGTAAAATTAATAGTATTTTTTATAAACAGTGTATGGCACGGGCGAATTAAAATAAATAATTACTTCAGAATTATTTATTTTCCATTAAAACTAATTTTATAATTTTTTATCATTCCTATGTGAAAATAGATAAATTGACAGTTGGGGCTACGTAAAGCAATGGTGAGAGTGATAAGTGAATAAAAACGAATGAAAAGTGCTGCCTTAAATAATTTAAAATTACAATTTATATATAGTATAAATATAATTATAATTATCAAGTACCTATTTAATTAATATAAATCTTTCTTGTTAACTAATAAGAAATTAAAAGTTAATTTATGTGATGTATATAACCTACGTAAAATTTATAACAAAATATTATTCAATATTTCAGTAAATTAAAAACCATTTGATATTTCTAATAATATCGAGGTAAATAAAAATTTAATTTTAATTTTTAATATTTATATTTATTTTATTCGAAAAATTTAATAATTTTTAATAAATTATTCATATATTTTATATAACTCTGTTGATTTTTAAAAGTATTGATCACAAAATTATTTTTATGTTCAATTTATTTTTATTTTTTATGTCAGTTATGTATTCGTTGTAGTTATTTTTTATTTCTGCAGAGGTATTCAAATATCACCATTGATTATATTATATATAATAACTTAAGTAGTAGATTTAATAACCTATATACTATAGTACCAAAATAATTAATATTTAAAACATTTATTTGATGATCAGTTGGCAGATTTCAATGTATATGGTATTAATATAACTAAATTCAGTATAATTTAATATCATATTTATAACTAAAAATTGTTGAATCATCAATATTTTCTGCGGTTTATTCAAATTTTATAAGTGACTCTTAAAACAATATGAAATACATTATATCTCGTTTAGACCTTTTAAGTGTTAGTTTTGATGGTTTTTTAATTACTAAAAATAATTTTTCATAAAGATATTGGATAAGATCTATAATTATCTTAAAATATTATACGAATGTTTTTTAAAAAAAGAGCACAGTATCAAAAACTTGACAGACAAATTCGTATAAATCAGTCTCTGATACGGAATATTTAAAAACACTATCTAACTCAATGGAATATTGGCTATAACTGAATAATTTGCAAAATATGTTTTCAGTCTTCAGTCAAAAATTAAATTTTATAAATATATGTATGCTGTCAAAACACGGGAACGTATTTAGAATAACTGCGTGAAAAATATGGTGCGTATAAAAATAATCGTTACATTCTCCTTCCCACTAAGCCTGGATTATGACCTTCATGGACCCGGGTCCAATACATGATTATGAGTCTATACTAATGAAAACAATTCTTCCCGGGGGACGTGCCCCCTGCACCCTTGATTCCCATTTATCAAAAAAAAGTAAAAAAGGGCTTCGTGGTGACATTCGGGAAGTATTTACTCGTAGCACAACCCTATTATAAATGTCATGACAATTTTCATGACAGTGTTGTTGAGAAATTGGTGTGTATAAAGTCTTTTATTTTAGATTCATATAAGGGTATGAGGATAAACAATTTTCTGTAAAGCCTACACGTAATTTATAAATTATATTATTGTTTTTAATTTAATACACATAATAATAATAGTGACACAAAAAAAAAAAAAATAGTTGACTATGACGAGATTATACATGACGAGGTTGAGTATACCTAAGCCAAGCTTTACTTTGTGTAGCTACATAACTCCGTGTGCAAACACTGCAAACAAATTTGCACAAGACTACTAGTTGAAATGTACACACTTCACACACACACACACACACACACACACACACATATTCAAGTAAAATGATTTTCATTCACATAATCAAGGAAAATGTATTCACTTTTAATGGAAAATTATCGCTTACATTTTGTATGCATATTTTAACTACATAGTGTATATATAGTTGGGTTGGGTCGAGCAAATTTTAATACTTTTTTTGTAAACAATATATGTGTGTGTGCGTGCGTGCGTGCGTGTGTGTGTGTGTGTGTGTGTGTGTGTGTGTGTGTGTGTGTGTGTG